TCATGGAAAATATCGTGACTGTGTAACAGCGACCTGTACAAGACCGGCCCCCACCGGCCCCCAAGGTTTTCTCTTCTTGATTCACCCCATAGGTGCATCTCTGACATAAGCAATGCATAGCAGAAATCGTGAGCTGCAGATTTGACTGGCTAGATAGGCTGTGCCCTGGCTGTGGCGCACATACTTCGTCAACCATTTTCAGCTTCCTAACCGGCAACCTTCGCTTCCGAGCCGTTTTAAGAGAAAGTGAGGTTGCATTAGCGATTTGAGCCATTGTTAACTCGGTAAGATTCCAAATGAGAAAGGAGACAACTCGAATGGGTGTCATGCCTGGGGAAGACTCTGATCGTGAACTTCACCGAGAAGAGGTTGACACGCGTCAAGTGACGACGTGCATAGGGCTGCTAGATCATTTATCCAATGCCCATGAAGGAATATCTACCACAACTTGCGGCACGGAAGAGGTGTAAGTCCTTGGTTCTTCGTTGTGTGCACCGAAGTTCCCAATTCTTTGCGAACGACGCCGCTTCCTGTAGGCTGTAGGCAATCACTCTTGGTGTTCTCCTCAGTATTTGTCAAAACGCATCAAAGAGTGCAGTGAATTAGAACTTGGCGGGACTAGACATCGGAAATCTCTGAAGTTGGAGGGTACGTGGACAGACATCACATGAACAAGAGGAGCGCAATCTCGAGCCTAGGATGTGTATACCCGGCACTTGCAGACGGCTTATCATGTAGCCTCGTTCAAAATCAATATACCGTATGTTCGATCATCAGCCCGACTTCATTTGTCATGATTGATAAGGTGCCTCCAACAACACTGATGTGCCACAGATATTTGGGGTTGATTCGTGCGGATATGGAGAAAGGTGGGAAACAGAAGCACACGGCTTGTACAACAAATCCAACTACGATGTTTGACCAACTTTAGGCAGCCAACGAGTGAATGATCGCGAGTAAAGCTCTCTGTGTTATTCCTATAGCGTCAGGTCCGAGGCACTTACCGCTGTTCCTACCGCTCTCGTTCCTAACTGCCGCTCTGTGGTAGTACATCAAGTGCTCTTTTGAGTGGCTACTGGATGGAACGTAACATCTAACACCATGCAGAGTCAGTGAGAATTCGCAGAGGCATCAGTCTCCAGCTTTCCCAGTCTCACTCGCCTCAATGTCTTCCCATAGAGCGAAAGGTAGCTGCTTAGCCAGTGTATCTGGAGTACACGTAGCATGGATTCTTTCCTGTATGCATATCACAAGAACAGTGTAGGTCGACTTTCTCAAGCAAGGCCCTGACGAGACACGCTACATCTTGTATTTGAACTCCGAATCTCCTCTTCCACAACTGTTAATACACCCAGCGCCGCACATGCTCACGTCACTCTTCCCAAACAGATGCCTCAAAAACGAGAATCAACACCCAGCCTCACCACACCACAACGCCTTCAATCTCACTGAGTATACCGCTCTCTCTTTCAAACCTTACTCTCCCCCTTCGCCCCCTCCGAACTCCCCTCCCCGCCCTTCTTCTCCTCCGGCGCAAACGTCAAACTCACACTATTAACACAGTGCCTCTCATCCGTTGGGGTATCGAACCCTTCCCCCTTGAAAACGTGACCCAGATGCCCGCCGCAGTTGGCGCACACAATCTCGGTGCGCGTCATGCCGAACATGCGATCCTCGTGGCGGACGACGGCGCCCGGCAACGAGTCAAAGTAGGCCGGCCAGCCGCAGCCCGACTTAAACTTGTGCGTGGCCTTGTAGAGCGGGGCTTCGCAGCCGGCACAGGCGTAGACGCCCTCGGCCGGGTAGTGCTTGTCGAACTTGCCCGAGCCGGGGGGTTCGGTGCCCTTTTCGCGGAGGATGCGGAATTGCTCTGATGACATGTCAGCTTCGTCAACTTAATATTCTTCGCGATCTATAAACACTGCTCATCTCATGCAAGTTTGGCTTTCTCATACGAGAGACGCCACACATGAGATGAAATGAGAATGGAGCGAAATATACTTACCCTTGTTCAAAACAGCCCGCCACTCATCGTCAGACCTCTTATCGGGATACGACATCTTATCCTGCTGCGAAGCGGAAGATCCAAACAGAGCGCCCAGGAACGGGATCGAGGGCATGGAAGCGCGGAGCTGGCGATTTGCTGCGAGAGGCGCTTGGGTGCCCAAGGACTGCGCGGCGCGGACGCGGGAAAAGTTGGAAAAGGTATAGACGAGGGTTGAGAGGAAAGGTGAGAATCGCATTGGGCAATTCTTTCAAGATCGCGGGGTGTTGTGTATCTCACCAGTTTTATGAGTTGGTGAGTTTAAGGTTGTTATGGGACTTGATAGATGAGGTTGAGGTTGATGGGGAGGTTTATATAAGAATGTCGTCTGAAGATGTTACAGGACGAGGGGTGATGAGAGTGGTAGTGGAGGGCAAAGAGTGACAAATCGGAGCCCTGTCCAATGATTTGTACTTGGAGCTCAACTGTGGCCAGTGAGAAGCTGAGGGCGACCTGTTGCGTCAACGACTTTTGGCGGGGTGTGGTTCTGCACTGCGAAGGTCTCCGGGGGTCCGGGCTTGGAGAGAGGTCCCGCCACAGCGGCACTGCAAGCGCCACAGCGTGGAATCATGATGGAATCACGGCAGAGGATTCCACGACGTGCCCGTTATCCGAGGATCCACCGGGGGTCAACTTTGGAATCCTCACATCAGCATCAGCCACTCATGCAGTTTGGAATCAAATCGTGAAGCTTTCGACATCTGAAATGTTGTGATTATTCGATTTGATTTTATTCTCTGAAGAAAGCCTCACATGCCATACTTGAGGCGACTTTCAACCCCTCACCAAACACCCGCCGGAGATGAGTTCGAGGACTTCGGAGGCAACACCACCAACTTTTCAGACGCCTCATTTCACACCCAATCCGCTCATCCCGCTCAATCGTTGCCTCTCACTAAACGCCGTTGCCTAGTACCTCCCTCTCATCTCATCTCATGTCACTCATAATGTCCCGTTTTTCTTGAAAAGTGATCTTTCAAAATGTGCGCTTAAAAGTTGGCCTTGCCGGCAAACTTCTCATTCTGGACAACCTCGACCCAGTAGTTGTCGGGATCCAACAAGAACGCAACATTCTTCATGCGGCCGTCGGTGAGGCGCTTCTTCCAATTACACTTCAACTCCTCGAAACGCGCGCACGCGGCGTCAATGTTGTCGACCGTGACGCCTATCCTCTCATTAGTGCCCTCTTCCTTTGACCTCACTCAGTCGGGTGCACCAAAGAAAGAAACTCACAAATATGTCCAAAGCCCTGGGGCTGGTCATTGCCGTTGTGGTAGCTGAAGCTCTCGTCCTTCTCGGTGCCGTGGTTCCAGGTCAGCTCGAGAATACCCTCGCGCTGCGCCTGGCTCTCGCCCTCCTTGAGGTCGCCGTAGGCCAGGAAGAAGAGGGTGAAGTCGCTGGACTCGTTCTTGCGGATCAGCGTCATGCCCAGGACGTCCTGGTAGAACTTGAGTGACTTTTCGTAGTCCTTGACGCGGAGCATCGTGTGGTTCTAAAGCCCCGTGATTGCCATGTTAGCGGTTCTTACGTCAAACATCATAGTAGAGCCCAAGATAAAGATAGGTAGTCTCACCATTCTGTAGGTGGTAACATCCGTAGTCGTGATGCTCTCCGTCTGCTCAATCGGCTTCTGGCCAATAATCTCGACCCAGTACTGATCAGGATCCAACACAAAGGCAATGTGCCTCATCTTACCGTCCGTCAGCTTCTTCTTGAACGCGTACCCGGCGTCCTCGAGGCGCTGGCACGCCGCCTGGATGTTGTCGACGCTGATGCACGTGTGCCCGAAGCCGCGGTGCGGCTCCGTGTTGCCGTTGTTGATCTTGTACTCCGGGTCGTTCTCGGTGCCGTAGTTGTGCGTCAGCTCGATGATGCCCTCGCGGTCAAAGGTGCCGCTGCCGGCGGACCGCGCGTTGGGCGAGTCGTAGGCCAGAAAGTAGAGGTCGAACTTGGCCTCGGGCTGCTGGATCTGCTTGATGACCTTCATGCCGAGGGTCTCGTAGAACTTGACTGTGAAGCTGGGGTGTCAATTGGGGTGCTGGAGCATGAGTGGTGATGTTTGATGCATACCCGAAGCCTTGGGGTCCTTCACTCGGATCACTGGGGTTCATTAGCAAATGCTTATGAGATAGTTATGAATTAACTTACTCGAGTGGTTGAACTTGTAGTTCTTGACATCCGTCGTGGCAGCCATGGTCGCGAATTGGCTAATTCGTCCTAAAGACACAAACTGCAATCAGCTACTCTGCATCTTGACGATGAGATAGAAGAGACTGGGAGCTTGGGAATGCCAAGCCATTATACAAGACTCACCGATAGGCTTCGTGGCAAGTGTATTCTGAATAAGTTTGATCCTCTGCAAGGCTCGGAGGGCGTTCATAGAAGCAACAAGGTTGGTTCATGCAATGGTTGCTTTCTGGAAGTTCTGGAGCGGGGGGAGGAGTCTTGACAATTATTTCGGGGATCTAAGCTGCATCATATGGAGCCTTTTCGGATATAACAGTTGGGAAAAAAAGTGCATGACGATTTGTCACTGTTGAGCTGGGCTCCGTCTGTCTCATTGCAGCTCCTTGTCCGAGCAAATAGCTTACCCCGCCACGAGGAAGCTGCCCCTCATCAGATCCCCACTGACGTCAACATGAAGCCAATAGCACAACAAGCCGATTTCCTGTCTTACTCAAGGCCGCTCCGGACCCGAACGCCATCGGGCTACTAGTCGGAACAGGAAACATCAACTCGGCTCAACTGAGCCAGAAAGCACTGGTCACGCAAAAGGACCTGTTTCCATGAGGGCGATATCTTCTACGTGCATACCCGCTGTGATTGATCTCTCAAGTCTATCCTAAGCACGCCTGCTGCAGAGCGTCTTGTTTCCTATCCTGTCAACAACCATTACTCTCCATTCTGACCCGCTGTTTGATGCAATCGCTTCCGGTACGCCGACACATATGCAATCTCATATGTAGTACATTGTGTCCTTCAAGTTCTCGTGCACGCTGACGCTCGAAGTCGACGGAGCGCCAACGGTACTGCCAGTCTCTGACGCTTCCGACGCATCGAAGTGCTCAGGTCGGTGGACACGAGCTCTCTCGCACACAATGTCTGCGTAGTAGGCCGGGGGGCAGATGCTGACGGCTTTAGTCGCTCGACCAAACGAGTAGCAAAGGTCGTGGGTGAGCTTCTCCAGGTTATCCGCTGCTCTGTCGCCAACACCATACTTATCGCGGAAAATTTCGTCCAAGAGCACCGTGTAGTGCGCCGGGCGGGCAGTACCCTTCAAGGCAGTGTGAGCTGTAAGGAAGAAGTCCCAGTAACGCGCTTGAGTGATTCCACGATCAACAACCGTGCCATTCTTGATGTTGCGCGACTTGGGATCCATATTAGCCTCCGAGGTCGGATAGAATCGAGTCTGGTGGCGCTTGACAGACACAATGATCGAGATCTTGGGCCTGCGGTTACCGTACATCGCGGCACAGGCTTGACGGATCATGGGCAGCTCAATATCGAGAACTTGCGTGAACTGACCCTCAGACACACCATCACGGTAGATGACGATGTATTCCGGGAGGTTGCCCTTGTTGCGCGCTCTCCAGAGCTCGAGGCGACGCTTGAAGTGGGCGATCAGCTCGTCACCAAGCATTTCCTGGCGACTGTCCTGTTCCCAAGCGACGCCCGGCCATTGACCCATGTCCTTGTCAACGCTGGCGACCAAGCCGACCAGACTGGGTGCGGCGTTTTTGTCGTTTGGCATGTTGGTCGGGTGAGTGACGTCGTAGCCAACGATCATTGTCTTCCCCTGATTGACAATGTCAATAGGATCCTTGACGATGTGATTGACGCCACCATTCTTCAGATTCCACTTGAGACCGACATTGGCGTAGGTCTGCTTGTTGTCCTTCATGAAGGTTTTCTCCACAACGCACACAGAGTGGAAGCCGAATCTTGTGTCTGCAAGTTTCTTGACTTTGCCGTACAATGCGGTATCCTGCCTGGGAAGGACGACGAGGACGAAGACACCCTTGGTCCGTTGCTGCAGCCGCCCGTCCATCCACGTGAAATACCTTTCGATTGTGCCCAGATTGTCATCAATCTCGCGCTCATGATCATCAAGCGGAAGGGGTTTCTCCGAGATGCTCATGCCGCTCGTCTTGAGGAACTCATTGAAGTTGCCAACGATTTTGCGCACGTCGCTGATCTGGTTCCTCGAGTAGCGGTCTTTGATACGCACCCACGTCCACTGGCTGATGTTGGGTCCCGGCCTGGCAAACTTGACTTCAATCATGTTCCACGAGCCTTTTGAAGCGGTGACGTTCCTGTTCGCATACGCGATATTAGGCGCAATCAGCTCGCGGCCGTGGACGGTCAAGAGATTCTTGTCCACCTTGACGCCAAAGTCCTTGACAACCTCGCTGTCGAGGCCCAGAGCTTTGCAGCTATCGAAAGTGAGGGAGATTGCGTTGCTAAAGGGGGATCGACAAGCAAAATTAAGCATCTCTGTCGTCTCCTGGCCGTTGAGCTTTGCGCGAACAGCTTGGCCGGGAATGATGGTGCACTGCTCAGCTGGGAAGAATGTTGGCTTTTCGCGGGTTCCAAGGTTGACGAGAGGCAAGGTGAGATCGGGAGCTGTGCCGTACTTCCAAGTCCAGTATTGCTCGACTGTGTACATGCCTGGCGGTCTGTTGTTCATCACAGTCCTTTGTCCGTCTGCTGGCTCCATCCTGAAGGACACCTGGCGAGGACCACCATAGTGCCATGGATCCGCAATTCTGGCATCATTGCTTCTGAAGTCTCCTCTGTATGCAAGGCCGAGGATCGTCTTCTTACGGGTGATCTCTTGCCCCTTTGCATCCTTGAACTTGATCTCGACACGAGTGCGAGCCAGAAACTTGGATAAGGCGCGAAGTCTGGTGATGTTCCGTGTGGCATCTGCGGGGCTCCTTTGGAAGACATTGACCTGAGACCAAAGACAAAGGTCTCGAATACTGACGGGCATCTTAAAGACACCATGGGTGACGTTGACGTTCAAGAGCATTGACCCTGTGCCCAGTTTCACGCTCTGGAAGTACCCTCTAATGGCTGTGAGAGGATCCTGTTGACCAAGCTGGTGACTGGTAGATCCTTGACCCCAAGGGAAGAACCGGCCCTTGCCAATAGCAGTGACCTGGTCGTTCTTACGGGGAGTGTAGCCGAGAATGACACCGAGAGCGTCAACAGAGGCTGCAAATCTAGGGAAGTTGGCTTCATCCGGGTCGCTCTTGTCGACCATGGTCTGAAGATACTCCTTCATTTCCTTCAATGGAGCTGCTGTTTCGCCAACGATCTTCACCAGGTAGCTCTCCGACCTGTCGGAATTCTCCTGCCTGAAGATGACCTTGATGGGGTTGACGGCCAGCTTGAGCTTCTTCAGAGAGACGAGCTGGCTTTTGAACTCGGTGGCGAGAATGGCGTTTGGCTCAAGGTTCTTCAACTCTTCGAGAGCAGCTTGCAGAATGATCTTCAACTTGCGAGCCGGGATGGAAGATGGAGGGCCATCGCCGCCGCCGCCGCCGCCGCTACTGCTGCCACCACCTCCGGGCTGGGCCTTCTCCTTTCCCTTGCCCTTGCCCTTGGGTGTAGACTCCTTCTCCTTGGATTCGCCCTTGCGGACTTCAAGATTGTACCGCCAAACGGCGTCAGGATTGACGGTGAGGTGGAAGTAGTTGGCCCACAGGATGACCTTGTTGCCTTTGGTGCCGTAAGCAGGACGACGGGGCATGAGTGCGGCCGAGTTCGCTTCAATGAGCGTCATCGAGCTCATGTTTTTGACGAGGTCGGTGTCCTGAGACTGGTGAGACTTGACGATGCGATTCTCGAGCTCGGTTGTGCCGCGATCGGGTTGGGGAATTGGCTTGTTCTGACTGCTGAGAGTTAGTCGAGCTGTAGCAATGGCTGTGATCTTTCACGTACCCGAAGAATTGAGACTCATTTTCAAATGGGTCTCTGAAACCGCCGAAACCACCTCGTCCACCCCCACCTCGTCCGCCGCGGTCAAAGCCGCCTCGTCCTCCACGATCACCTCGGAAGCCACCACCACGGCCACCACGATCACCCCCAGGACCGCCACCACGGCCACCACGATCACCTCCAGTACCGCCACCACGGCCGCCGCGGTCTCCTCTAAAGCCGCCATCGCCGCCTCCTCGGGGTTGGATGTCACCGCCTCCGCGCCCTCCTCCACGACCACCACGATCCCCTCCACGACCGCCACGATCTCCTCCCCGGCCGCCACGGCCACCACCCCGGCCACCACGTCCAGAGTCAGCCATTGGATAAGTGAAGGGATGTTCAGTAAAGCTAAAGCTAGATGAAGATCAGTTGCAGGTTCAATTGAGATTCCAGAGCTCGGCGACACGAACTGTGGGAACGTTACTTACTGAACGACTGTATTCAGATATGCCTTGGCTTACTTATGTGCCCTGCGTCGTCAATGTGTACAGGCGAAAGGGCACAGGTCAAGTATGCTTTCAGGGGAGAAGGCACATTCGTCGTCGGCTAGCGAGTGGCATGCCAAACGGGAATGTGCAATGATTTGGCCAAAGGCGGATTAAAGCAAAAAGAGTGATGTGTGACAACGATGAAAGTACTGAGGGCCATTGACGCGGGAGGCCGTCAAAGGCAAAACAAAAAACACCAAGGTATCAAAACTCTACTTGGCTGATGATGTTAAGTAGGAGGTGTCGCATTGGTCCGGTGTGAAAGGTGAGGGATGGGATGGAAGAGGGTAGGTAGTGGATCTTCGTCCCGGCGGAAGTGGGGCACTGCACCAGAGAAAGTCAAAAAAGGGTCCTTCGTGCTCCTTCACGAGGGTACTTGGGATTCCGGGGTAGCTTCGAAGGAGCTACTGTCAAAGGTGAAGGTCACTATGGTGCAAGAAGAGACACGATCAGGGTGGCAGACACTTTCGTAGCTTTCCACTGTTGCGAAAGCACCTCGAGACAAATATGGATGATTTGTCTAAGGCGAGCCCAACTAATGATGCCCAAGCCGGGAGTTTGCACAGGGGCGTAATGCAATCGTTGAAAACCTAACCGTTATTGGGGCCTATTCTCGGTGTCTATCAACCTATCAAAGAACTTGAACTACTGTGGTAAAAGTACGGTACTCTGTGCGACGCATCATCAAAGTGTAAAAATGGCGGGGGAGGATGGCCTCCCTCATCCCTCATCCAAGCACCAACGTCTGCTCGAAGCCCGCAACCAGCTTTCTTTCTCTCATTGCTTCCCATGTGGCTCAGCCAACGCCCTGGCATACTACCGGTGTATGCACAAACCCAGGGATTTCCAGGGACACTCCCGATTGGTTGAGTGTGTTTGATCAGCTTCCCAAGCACACAAGATGGTTGTAATAGCACACACACACCAGTCCCCAACTCCCGATAGACTGTCTGCCAGGTATATATGGCCGATGACTAAGCCGACCAGTACAGACCAACCTTGCCCCAACTTCCGGCCATGACTATTCCACAGAGTAGAGACATCATCCCTGGTGGAATAGATGCAGCTATCCTTTCTCACTTTGTCGGCTCTTTTCTAGATGCGTGGGTATTTTGCTGTTCTGAACACCGTTGACGATATAGTCAAGCTGAAAACTGTAGGCGAGGCCAAGCCAACGCAAAAAGCAGAAAAGGAGCGGTGTGTATCTGCACAGCAGGGAAGCAAAAGCAAACGGAGTACTTCCCTAGAATGAGGGGTGCGACCATTTGGTTCGCAACCGCCAACCAGCAACTGGCCGGACCAGAAACACCGGGAAGGCCGAGATGTGGCTGCTGATTGTTCATGTCATCCAGTCTTTCGCTCTCTTATGCCACTTGCCTTGCTTCCGGCGGAAACCTTATGCCAGTTGCTATCAAATCGACAAGGCGTTTTCTTTCTGGCAGCTTTCCAACTCAAGCTCACAATTTCCAAGCCACTATATCATCGCTATCGAAGGAGGGCATCATTGCAGTCCGGCATCCGGGGTGGGAACGGCTGAGAAGGGAACTTGCAGCGATGACCGGGCCCAGTTAGCTGCGTTGGAGATCCAGGGCTGCTCATTGACTGCGTATATCAAGTCATGTTTGAAGCTAGATGAGTAGGTGCCCAACAACTACAATTATTAACAACTCAAGAGATCGAGCTCAGTGAGCGAAATCGTGAAGCGTTACACACAAGGTAGAGTATGCAGCTTGGAGGATCAGGTCAAAGCCTTTGGATTTTGTAATAATGCCCTCTCCCTGTTTTCCTATCAACACCGTAAACGCCCTTGTTGTAAACGCGATTGGAAGCAACTTATGAAAGGCAGATTGGCCGTTGGACTGTCTGTCGTCATCCCACATTGCGCACCCTTGCATGACAGCGGACCGCCGCATACGCCAGCATTGGCGGCAGCCCACCGGCGACATGGAAGCATCAAGCAAACACGCAACCAAATCATCATTGATCTCAACCCATCGCTATTGGGCGGGCTTGACGTGGCCTGCTGTAGCCACCTTGAGAATATCGCCTTCGAGGCCCTTGATGTGCACGAAATCGACACCTGCCCTCTCGAGTGCGCTCCGTCCGGTGTTATCCTTGACGAACTTTTCCGGCTCCTGAACACCAACGTAGACGGTCTTGATAAAAGACCGCAGCTGGAGAATCCTCTTGGTACATGGCAAGTTCCCACTGAGCCTAGTCGAGCACGGTTCCATGGTCGTGTAGAGCACCAGCGGCGTCTTGATGACGGAGCCCAGCTCCTCCTCGGTGACGTCGTGCTGTTGGGCCAGCTTCATGAAGCAGCACTGCTCGGCGTGCGTGTTACCGGGCAGCTCCAAGGTGTAGCCCGTCGAGACGACTGTGTTGCTGGCGGGGTTGACGAGTGCCGCTCCGACTCTGTAATTTGTTGGCTTTGGTGGTGACTGTTTCGCCAGCGAGAGCGCATATTGGAGGTACCCCGCGTGATCGCCTGGCGCTATCGGTGCTGGTTGAATGCCCTCGACCTCTGATGCCATTTCCAATATATACGACAAGTTGACTGGGCTACTTCGAGTGCGGTGCGATAAGTGAGAATGTGGGAATTTCCCGAGTGCTCTGAGATGTTTTTATACTGCAAGACGAGTTGAGCTGGACTGGACTCTAACATGAGATTGATCAATTACAAAAAGTAGCTTTCAACAGTGAGCCAGTCATTGAGGGAGGGGCAGAGGGGCAGGGAGTGAAGCTCTTGCCTCAGCTCAGCGCATCGGTGCCGCAAGCCCCGGTTCGCCGACTTCCTTTGACGCACGGCCCATTAGACGACCCGGTCCTTAGGTTGAACGCTGGATGCGCCCCACCACTTTAGCAGGCGCGTCTCTACCTGCTCGAGCGCGTCGCCGAGCTCTGAGTGAGCTTTCTGTCTATCACCAACCGAACATTCACGTTCCCACAGCCTTCAAAATGTCATCTCCAGACGAGCTCGTTGACGATAGCCCCCCTGAAATCGATCCCTATGAGATTCTGGGACTCGAACGCGAAGCTACACCGGACCAGGTCAAATCGGCATATCGAAAAGCAGCACTCAAGAACCACCCAGGTAAGAGGGAGACAGCTCACCGTCGCCGTGGGGCATGATTAACATTACTTTTCGCGCAGACAAGGTCTCCGACGACCAAAGAGATGAGGCGAAGGAAAAGTTCCAGGCCATTGCTTTCGCATACGCCATTCTCTCTGACCCGGCACGACGCAAGCGATATGACACAACCGGCTCTACGTCCGAGTCTATAATCGACTCCGAGGGCTTCAACTGGTCCGACTACTACCGCGAGCAATTCCAAGATGCAATCTCTGCAGAAGCCATTGAAAAGTTTGCCAAGAAGTATAAGGGCTCCGACGAGGAGAAGGACGACGTCTTGATTGCTTATGAAAACTCCAAGGGCGACATGGATGGGGTCTACGAATCGGTCATGCTGAGCGACGTGCTCGAGGACGACGAAAGGTTCCGCCAGATCATCGACGAGGCCATTGCCAGCGAAGATGTCCAGGCATATAAGCGATACACGAAGGAGAGTAAGCTGTCAAAAGCGGCTCGCGTCAAGGCAGCAAAGGGCGAGGCGAACGAGGCCGAGGAGTACGCCAAAGAGCTTGGAGTCCACGATAAACTCTTTGGCGACAAAAAGGGCAAGGGGAAGAAGAAGGGCAAGGATAGCGGAGAGGCCGACCTGGCCGCGCTCATAAAGGGCAACCAGCAGAAACGCGCCGGGTTTCTGGACGATCTCGCTGCCAAGTATGGAGCCACCAGCCAGCCTAAAAAGGGCAAGAAGAGAGTCGTGGAGGAAGAAGAGCCGTCAGAAGAGGCATTCCAGGCTGCAGCTGCACGGCTGAAGAAGCCAAAGGCGGATGAAAGCAAACCTGCCAAAGCGGGAAGAAGATCGAAGCGGTAAAACATGGAATTTCTGGATCGGCGTCTAAGGATTGGGGTAAATCGGCAAGGATACAGAATCTTGGTATGGGATTCAATCGGATGAATGAAAGTAATATTTGTCGAACTCGAGAAAAGACTTTTCTCATGTCTTCATGATCTTTTCCAATGACTCCAAACTTTTTGGGTGATGGCTGCTTTACTCTGACGGACGCACAAGTTGGGTGTCCCTCATGGTACAGGCCCTTGAAGACTAGCGCCACAATGCGGGGCACTCAGCACTGTAGTCGCTAAAACATCCCCAGGTCAACCAGGAAAGTTTACATTTCCCCCAAGAACGGAATCTTCCACTATCACATACATGTTCTAACGCGACGCGCTTTTCGGAGCCCCCATCCGAGGTGACCTGCAGCTGACTATCACGACATTTTACGGTCGAATCTGGGTTGAGGATGTCTAAGTGATCCTCAACCAACAATGCCATGACGAGCGATGTATCAATAGGCGGCCTCTATCCGCAGTACTGCCTGCAACTCTCCCCAACCTTCAACACATGGTGCCTCATGCAGGCAGCCGACGTCCACGCCCTGAAAACTGTGCCTGAATATGAAGGTAAAATTGCGGCCAACATGCGCAGTATTCGTGGCTCACAGGCTGACGATTGATGCATCCTGCAGTTCAAAACTTTTATTTCTACAAGAACCTACCTATCAAATGGGCACGCATCGTCGGCATTGTCGTAGCTGTGGACGACTTCCCGGGCCGACGCATCTACACGGTTGACGACAGCAGCGGGGCCTGCATCGAATGCACAGTCGCGACAAAGACACCGCCGTCCGACAAAATTGCTACCAACCTCGAAGCCAACGGATGGTTCACCAAACGGCCGCAGCCGCAGCCTCCAGCGGACTGCGTCGATGTAGATGTCGGCACCGTCATCGATATCAAGGGAGGGCTAGCGAGGTTCCGCGAGGAGATGCAGATCAGGATTGAGAAGGTCAAGATCCTCCGGTCCACGGAGGGAGAGGTGGCGCTGTGGGAGAAGCGCACGCGGTTCCGGAACGAGGTGCTTCAGCCGCCCTGGGTGCTTAGTGAGAGGCAGATTCGGAAGTGCAAGAAGGAAGGGATGAGGGATGCCGAGAGCGAGGAGAGGAAGCGCAAGAGGGAGAGGAGGCGGGCGGAGAGGAAGAAGGAGGAAGAGGAGATGCGACGCAAGACTGAGGCTGCTGAGGCTGCTGCAGCGCAGGAGAATCGGTACCGTGCCTATAAGTTGAAGAAGGCAGATGGATCGCGACCGATGACACAGGCTAGCCAAGTCGTCGCGTCGATTCCGACTGCTGCTACGGTTGCGGCTGCACCTGTCGTGGAGGATCGATACCGTGCCTACAAGTTGAAGAAAGGAGACGGTTCACGCCCGATTGCGCGTGCTAACCAAGTCGTCACAGCGGTTCCAACTGAGGCTATGGCTGCGCCGGTCATGGAGGACCGATATCGTGCCTACAGTCTGAAAAGGGGTCACTCAACCCAAGAACAGCAGCCACAGCGGATCCCCGCCCCGACTCCAGACACGGAAGACCGTTATACAGCCTACAAGATCAAGAAAGGAGGAGACAGTCGGCCGGTCATAAGGTCTGATGCTACGACTATTGACACCATTGCTGCTGCTGCCGTGGAAGATCAGTATCGTGTTTACAAGGTGGGCAGGTCTGGGGCTAATAGCCTGGAGAAGAAAAGATGACAGTGTGCAAGGGAAGCAACATTCTCTTGGTTTCTGATATACGGTTCATTATAGGCGCTTGGGGCGCTTGGGAGTAGACTTGCTTTCGATACCCGCGATTGGCTCTGAGATTTCAATTGATTACTGTTGCTCTTCATGACCTATATGATGCAGACTACACTTCCGATACCATCTCTCGCCCGGCACTACCCTCATCGAATTGTACAATTCACCTGCACATGTTCTGGTTCACAGCAGCAAGCCAAGTGTGGTCACTGACATTCGCCAAGATGACGCCAAGGATCCCCCCAAGATCATATTGCCTAGTGACAGGCTGAAGGAGCTGGTTACACCGAGAAGAAGCAACCTCTTGTCTCCAACGCGTCAGCATACGGCATCTTCTGACCACAGTCACCAACCTCAACATCTGCTCTCGCAACAATGGCCTGTAGTTGCAATTACCACCTCGATCCAGCTGCTCGAAAGTCAGCGATGCCACTGCTCTTACGTCACTGGCCCGAGTGCCTCGCTAAAGGGAAAGGGAGGGACGACGAGATGCCCCTCCATGACTTTGGTCCCTGGAGCTAGAAGACATTCTCCCAACCCAACGGGTCTCAATTATACATGCATACCATCGTATTCGAGCCCAAGTGACCTGTTGCTCTGTCAATTGCGCCGGTCGTTTTTTGCCAATATTGGCTGATTGTCCCCTCCCTCTTCGGACTGTCGAGCGGCAGCTTGGATGCCGAAGAGTCTCCACGCCAAGGGCAGGCACGCGTCAGCCAAAGAGGGTCGTTTCGTTTGGGTGCTGCATTAATCGTGCATACTTAACCTCATGAGTCGAAACTTCCCATCGCAACATCTCTCTCCAATTGCGCTTGCCAGAATAGACCTAAGACCGCCTAGTTGAACCAGTACACATACCTACCTTACCTTTATCTTACTTGCTGGTCTTTTTGCGGCTGCATCGCGTCTTGTCACCTAACGCAGTCCTCAGACCATTGCCAGTGCCGCTGTTGCCAGCCACAACATCATCGTCGCTTCATCAGCTCTTGGCCAAAGACTCAGAAACCTCTGCTGCCATCAAGACACGGCCACCACCGACGCCTACCTGTCTTGACCGATCGCGATCCCTCAGTGCCTAGTATCTTATTCTATCTCATCACGCGGCTCTCATTGCTCTCTACCTAGACCGAGTTCCCCGGCAAGCCGCTCTGCATTCCTAACGAGGTGAGACCTATCCATTGTTTCTGGAACCCGTACATTCCCTTCACATTCTTCGCCCATACGTTGCGCGGTAACCCTGCAAATCTTAACGTTCTGGACTGCGGCAAATCCACTCATGGGTTTACCACTATCGGTTCACCGAGGACTGTCCATTGTTGATGTGTGGCGGCTTTCACCATGGCACCTGTTTATATGAAGTTGGAGCACCGCTCCCATACTACCTCATGCAGAATTGAGGAACTTCTCTCCCTGCCACGCGCTACCTAACATAACCCCAGAAGCCAGAAACAGGCTTGAACATCCTCTACACCCTCATACCAACACGATAAGATCATTGCCTCCCCCGCAATGGCGGGCTTTCATATGAAAATGGGGGTCCTCAGGCTAACTTTGATGCAGGTCCTCCTCTGCGAGAACGCACTCGCCCTATTTCACCAGCAACACGTTCGCCTTCACGATACTCACCCAGATTCGGTATCTTTTGGCCAATTGAACGTCCGGGCTTTACTCCTTGATAGTCGTGACATAGCTTGCCTAACAGAGACGGCGAACGTAACCGTAACAGTTAGGGCCACAAAAGGATCACAGCAAACATCGGCACCAGTATTGGATAACTCCCAGGTTGCCAACGTCGTCACCAGCGCCGAAGCCAGCGGAACAGTAGTGATTTTGCCATCTCTGACCAACACAGCGCCTCAAACTTCTGGATACGTTGCAACTGGTCTTACAGCATCGGGCAAGGTTACGTCTTGCCCTCTTATGTCAAACCCTATTCCGACGCCCTCATCTCTCATCGACACAGCGGCGCCTGCTACTTCAGTTGCACCACTTCCATCTGCACCAATGCCTTCCGGAGACATCTTTTCTGAGCCCATTGGCACCGGGGCACCTCCAGGCACCATCTCTGCCCGGAGTGACCATCCGGTTCCGAGAAAGGGCATCACCTCGAGCTCGCCGCTTCAGACCAACAAGTTTTACTCCAACTTCTTCCTGGGAGACCAGACGGCGCCGACGTACACCTATCCTTACGGCATAGCATGGGGGGCAGGACGAGGGGCCGCTGCCAGCTACGGCATGACTATTTCCCACATCGAAGCGAGTCAGCGAGTCTTTGGCCCGACTAAGGCGGACTCTGGAGCTGCGTCTTATTTCATCAACCCGGTAGGTATTCAATCAATTGTAATCAGCGCTCAGGAGCTCGGGTCGGACACCGCAGTGGGAATCGACAGCGTCACGGCATTCTCTGCGACAATTCACCTGAAGCCGAATGCCCAAGCTGTGCCAGCGGTTTCTTTCCCTCTCGTCCAAGGAATGCCCTTCATCACAGCCCAGTATGCCGGCGCCACCCCCGTGATCCGCACCGGAGTCTTCTTCAGAACGGTTACGCGGGTGACACAGGACCCCAAGGCCGGCGTTGCCAAGTACACTTTCCAGCTCGAAGACGGCAAGATCTGGCGGTTGTACGCCTATGCAACCACCGGATCGCAGCTCAACCTGCAGGTTGTCAACAACGGTCTGGCCCAATCGACGCAGCCGTTCTACGGAATCATTCAAGTCGCCAAGGATCCCGGAAACGGAGAGGCTTTGCTTGACCAGGCGGCCGGTGTTTATCCCACGACAGTCGCGCTGTCTGGTTCAGTGAGCGGCACCACGGGCTCATATACGTTCAAGTTTGCCAAGGATGGTCATCCCGACGGCAAGCTGGTCATGTACGCGCTGCCGCATCATGTCTCCTCATTTGATTCTACGACGAGAAATGGCGTTCAACCAGTTCAACTCATGACTCCTGCCAAGGGAATTGCGACTGCAGTCTTGGCTGACCAGTGGACGATGCAAGAATCGAACTTGCCTGTTAGCATGGGTTTCGCTCCTTGGAGCCCTGACAAGGGTAGTCTCACCACGCTGTCTGACAATGCCAAAGTTGTGATCCGCGGGATAGCAGCCCAGGAGGTATCCCAGGACATGATGGCTCAGTCTGATCTGGACTCCATGTACTTCAGCGGAAAGGCAAGTCTTCTTCAGATGCCTGTGAACTATCTCAACTGACTCGCAACTAGGCCCTGGCTAAGTTTGCCATACTGATTATTGTGATCAATGACATTTTGGGCGACCCGGCATTGGCGCAATCAGGCCTGAACAGGCTCAAGGCGGCGTTTGCAACGTTTGCTACTAACAAACAAAAGTACCCGTTGGTATATGAGAGTGAGTTGTGGTTACTTGAGGGGATATATACATGTCGCTAACCAGACCCAGGCGCTTGGGGAGGTGTCGTGTCTTCGGCAACCTACGTCACGGGCAACGACGGCGCCGACTTTGGCAACACGCAGTACAATGACCATCATTTCCACTATGGCTATCATATTCTTGCAGCCGCAGCCATTGCTCATCTGGACCCGAGCTGGCTGAGTGCGAACAAGGACTATGTGAATGCTCTGGTGCGAGACGTGGCCAACCCTAGTACCCAAGATACCTATTTCCCTACGTGGCGTGCTTTCGACTGGTACCATGGCCACAGCTGGGCTCATGGTCTGTACGCCTCGTACGATGGAAAGGTGAGTTTTACTTTCGGCCAAGGTCTGAAGCACACAAGCTAACATTACGGACAACAGGACCAAGAATCAAGCTCCGAAGACATGATGCACGCCTACGCCCTCAAGATGTGGGGTGACGCTTCGGGCGACAGTATGCTCTCGTCGCGAAGCAACCTCCAGCTCTCCATCATCGCCCGCGCCCTCCAGGACTACTACCTCTACAAGAGCGACAACGCCGTGCAGCCACCCCAGTTTATCGGCAACAAGGTGGCCGGCATCCTCTTTGAGAACAAGATTGACCACACGACCTACTTTGGCGCTAATATCGAGTTCATCCAGGGTATCCATATGATTCCCCTCCTCGCGCCCTCGCCGTTTGTCCGCACGCCGGCCTTCGTCAAGGAAGAGTGGGACGTGTACTTTAGCAACGGACGCGTCGATACTATCGCGGGCGGCTGGAGGGGTATCATCTATGGAAACCTTGCGACGATTGACGGTAAGACGGCGTGGAACTTTTTCAACAGCTCCAACTTTGATCCTAGCTGGATCGACGGCGGCGCGAGTTTGACGTGGTACTTGACGTATGCAGCGTGTAAGTCTCGATCAGATCTCTCAGCCTTGTTCAAATAAGAGCAGATACTAACACACAATCCTACAGTGATGGGCAATGTCTGACACGTTTTCCAACGTCACACCCTACATGGAAACACACCAGTCCTAATTCAACACTCACATGACTGGCGGACGAAACGAGCGACATGAAGATTAAGAAGGGCGGCACCATTCGAATTCGGTTTTCTCTCAACTTTTTTTGCCCTTTTCCTTATTGCGCGTGGATGAAGTAATGAACGACGAGATAACAACGAGCAACGAGCATGAAATGAAGAGATGGGAACAACAAAACAAATGTAATGCCTCAATGACGAAACACGACACGAAATTCCCTACGACACACACGCACGCCCTACTCAAACAGAACCTAGAATTGTATCATTTTATGACGGAGAATGGAAATTTTTGCAATTGCCTTTCAGCCTTTGAGTATTCGTAAACCAAATATGAAGAAAACAGTGCCCGCCAAGTGAATAAGATGCCAAGCCTCTCCCTCTCTCATCTCAAGTCTTCAGCCGTTCATCTGTCTTCTGATCATAATGATCTGGCTGGTATTATAAGCGACCGTGGTAATAATTCAGACGAAATGAGCCCGCCAAGACACGGCGACCAACCGGGCCCGTTGAATCATGTACATAATAGGTGAACAGATGAAATATGCAATACATCCGGTATCCAAAAGAACTGTTGGACAAAACCAGCTAAAGAATGCAGGGTCCGCATTTCGCAGCGGCATAAATCAGCCGAGCCTCGTGTGCGGCCACACACAACACCAATCAGTATCTCACATGCAGGAGGCGAGACAGGTTAGCACCTAAGGTAAGGTAGCTCAAGCAACGAGCTCAGGGCGTGCAAGCAACAGGAAAACACGGCACATGCATTTATGATCCACCCCTCCATCATTGATAGAGCGGGAGAGCAGCAAGCAGCAGATTGACAAGAAATCCCAGGGGGGCGGATGGGTTTCTCTTTGGCAGGGCCCGGATGACGCGTCACCCATCCACGTAACACGGGCCCCCGGCTTCTCTAGCTCTTGGGGGGGCAGCGAGGGGTACGAAGTGCGAATGAACGGGAAGAGAAGATTGGGGGCCGGAAGGCTAAGCTTTTTGGTCGCCACAATGCTTATTGCAACTGCTGGGTAGAATCAGGCTGCAGGCGGACACAGTCTTGGTCAACGGTCTCTTGTGTAAAGAAATGGTTGACTTGATCAACCAGATCTGTATCGGATCTTGAAGTTGCAAAGGTGGTGTCGAGATGCCGGTGTCTGCTGCCCCATACCTGATATCCGAACACCGTACAGCGACTTGTACGCACTAACTGTTAGCACTGTGCTTACTTCAGTATATTAGGGATTCGAGCCTAAACATTCGGGCCAATGGTCGAAATTCGAAAATGGTTCTTGGCATTGAGTGTAAAATGAAATTTCGACGTCCCGTTTAGCCATGAACTTGACTTGCAATGTTGCTGTGTCGTGTCAGAGAAGCAGGCAGCTTACCGTATCAAGAGCCATATCAGGTAGACTGCCTTGACGATGCAAACCGAAGAAGAGCCAGCGATTACAAGCCGCAGTGGATGTGAGTTCTCGTTGATGATTGTTCTTGCCAAGTCTCTGACTAGCTGATGCGTGATCCGATACTACTCGGAAGTCGGCACAGCGGGCTCAGGTACGATGCTTTTCAGCTCGGTAGGGCATTGACTGACAGTGCACCAGAGATGACATCCCGTGTTAGGGCGAGGATATAAGACGAAATTCGAATAGCAAGGTATTCGCGTAACCGTCATGCTGTTTACCAGGTCCGCATTTAGGCGGATGTAGTCATGAGGGCACAGCGACCTCGCTGCTCTGCCACAGTCTGTGGATGCAGTCAGCTTAGAAGCATGAGTACTGAGGTACAGTTGTGTTGTCTGCCCGGATTTGCCAAGCTTGATCATCGTTGTTGGTAGGTATGAAAATCTCAGAACCGAAATCATGGTCACCCATAAAAGCACCAACGATGCCAACAAGTCCTCGATGTTGCGAAAAGCTGCTGCTGCTTCTCCTCGCTACGTTAGTCGGCTGACCAAGCCCTCAAGGCCACGTGCCTCTTACGAAGCACCCTACGCAACAGACAGAAGAAATGCTTTGACATCACCGTATCAGAGAACGTGGTCGCAGTCAGCGGGGTTTGCTGTGTCTGTCAAATGGATGGTGGTGGCTGTGAAGGTGCCAGCGCACGAATTTCGCGTTAAAGCGCGCGCATGAAGCATGGGGTGAAGGATGACTCGGGATTCGGCTGAGAAGTAATATCAATCGGCGACAGGCCAGCCTCCGTGCCCGTCCCCGCAATTCAGAGTTGGGGAAGTAATGTCGGAAAGGCTAATGTAGAGCAGTGCTCTAGACGAAGTGAATATTACTGCAAAGCAGATATGCCAAGCTCCAAGACCATGAGTCGGACCGTTAGATCGCAAGGCTGTGTGTGTGTGGCAATGAGCACATGAATCCTTTCGGCTGAGTAAAAGGCCAAGACTGACGATGCTTGGCAACGAGGCTTTGGTGACGGTGAAAATCACAGAGAATGGCAACGAAGTTAATCGATAACGAAACATGGCGATAAGGGTCCAGTGGAAGGGAATTCCTGACGCAAGTAGGCCCCATGTCCGGTCAAGGTTCGAAATGGCATTCAGCGACGATGGATTGGGGGGTCCGTAGATCGGTGCAGGGGACTCCGAAAGCGAATGGACAGGGCGGACCCCCGCCACCCCCAGCAAGCCAAGGCAAGGCGTTTCGCAGGGCAACCGAAAACAGCATTTGGCCAGAGAGTAGACTCTGGAGCTTGTTTGCCGCCGTCGTTGTCGTTTTGGGTGTAAGATGGAACACTGGGCGCCCTATCTGAGCCCGATGTTGTGTGGATGCTCTCAGTATTGTGACCGAAATAACTCTGAGGGTTGAATCGAAGCAACAATTCTCAGACGAGTACAGGACTTGGGGCCCCGTTTGAAGTTTGGGACAAAGTCGAGGGCGGCGAAAACGGGCCAGCAACTGGAGCTCTGCTACGGATACAGTAGTGCGAGTGTGGTATTGGGAAGCGAGTGCCATGGTCAATGTGGGCTGGAGCTCGAGCTGTTTGTCGCATATCGTCCGGTCCCCTGAGCCGAAAGTCAAGACGAATTCCCTGAGAGTGGGACGGCTTCGTGCCGAGACGCTGAATTGTGGAAAGGCAGTGTCAAGCCAAGACTGAGCTTGATCATTTTTGACTCGAAGGTTTGGAAGGGTTGCTGAGGCAATGCGAGGCGGGCACGCAGCATTGGGTTCGAACAAGATGAGTGTGGGCGACTAACGGGCAATGGTGGTGTTTGCGTTTTGATAGGGGTTGTTCAATGAATGCATCGATAACGATGGGCTCTGTTCTTTTCGATGCGAGGAGCCGTGTAGTCAGTGGATTGTGTTCCTGATGACGAGGGAATGGAAAGTTGACAGCAGACGATGACGGCGGAGAGCATGGGAGCTATCGTTAGCGGGCGTGATGGATGGACAGCAGGTACGTATCCCTCGGAACCTTCGTGAGGTAAGGTAGGTATATCTTAAGGTAGGTACTTGGGGAATTGGAAGGCGCTCCTACTGGCGGAAATGTGGGTGGGAAAGAGTGAGTTCACAAGTGACATTGGGCAGACAGGCCAGGCCGCAGGAGCAACTCAGGAGAGGGAGGGATCCAGGGAAAGCTCCTTAGCTCACTACTCAAGAGGGTAAGTGGGCGGGCGCCGAACAGGAAACAGCGGAGAAAGATGAGAAGCAACGCCAGACAACACAGCCACGCTTGGCACCACAGCAAGCTTCCCATTGGGTGCCGCCAACATCACCCCAACCTCACCCCTTGACTTTGCAAAGACTGAAACCTGTTCGCTACTGGCTAGGCCATTGTATGACGTTTTGGGAGGGCCTTTCTGTCTCCTAGTAAGGTGGTTTTCACTGCAAAAAAGGCCCATGGTCACTCAAAGCTTCTCCTTCCGGCGGTGTTTTAGTGAAGTAGATCCGTACAATGCTGTCATACCGGGGTAATCAACAAGAGTCTTGAATGCTGGTAAAGCTGGATTCAGCAGCCATTGACAAGCTGAACAGTGCTAGTGTCAGGTAGTGTATCCGTATATCGACGTCGTTGAGTGGATTTCAATGGGTTTCGATGGGTTGATACACCACCTACTCCGTACGCAGTATGCAAAATGTTGGTTTGGATATGTACCTTTTTGCATGTACCTTGCACTAACACCGTTCGTCCTTGCATGTATCCGGGAGGCCGCCCATGCATCCAAAAGTGTCATTCCTCTTTCCCGTCACTCCCTCTCGGGCACCACAATCACACCCAGCACCACCACTTTCGCAGCAGAGACTCGGAGCGTCTGTTTCGTCCCGTCCTGTTTCTCTTTTCTTTGGGTACCACGGCATCCGTCCCACGTTCTCCATAGTAGCCTGACAGGAAAAGGGGGCTGTGTTCGTTTCTTGTTCAACCCTTCTCCCCAGCCAAGACTCATTTGCCATCGCCTGAACTTCTTGGAACACGGCTTTGGACAACATATTGCTGCCGTTGCTACTTTTCTGGCAACAAAATTACAAGCACTATCAATCACTATCAACCAGACACAGATTCACCCGATACCAAGCCCGCCTCACCTTTTTTTTGCATCACCGCAGAGGCTACCAATTGGCCTTGCCCTTCCACACCATCTCTTTCTCAACGGTCAAGACATAGCAACACCCTCCTCCCTATTCCCCGTAGCCCGTCATCGAGTCGCGTCGCTCTGCCTCAAGTGTCTCCTGCAGTCGTGCTGCAGCAGCATCCATCGCATCGTCACGCTCACTCGCACGTTCAATCCCAAGGACCCAAGGACCCAATCCACTTGGACCACCTCCGGTCGATACACCGTCCACATAGATTCCTCTGTACTTTGGACTTGGCGCCCAACACTGCTTGCCATTGCCTCGCATCCATTGGATCAAGCCGTCACTGAACCGTCCGCTACCTACCTTACTTTACCCCACTCTCTTTGCCGTCGGGCGGCGCAGGCACAGGGCCTCGAGCAGAAATCTC